CCAGGGGCGCTGTTCCTGGCTTGGGTGTTTAAGCTCCGATCCAGGGTCGCTCTTGCTCTAGCCTGGCCGGCTGGATGCGCTCCATGGGCTGGTGGAGCTCTCGAACGGTTCCCAGTTTTAGTGGGTCCTGTGGTCCAGGTGTTGGGGTAGGGGTCAGGGTCTGGGGGTTCCCTCCAGCTCTGGTCTCCCGTGAGGGATGCACTGTCCCCTGCGAGGTGCTCACCCTGGAGCTGGTCGTTGTTTTGGTTGAGGTGCTGTGGGCTGGGCAGTGGTGGCTCTGCGTGTTTCTCCTCTGTCTCTGTCTCTGGCTCGGTCGGTTGATGCTGTTCGGGTGGCACCGTGGGCTGGGCCTCTGGCCTCCGGCCGAGGGGTGGGGGCGGGGCCTCCGTGCAGGTTCTGACGCTGGGGTTTGTCTCTGTTTGCGCTGTCCGGATCAGCACCAGTACCTTGCAGGTCTTCTGCTCTGGCGTTCTGTGGGCGTCCCGTGTCATTCTGGGGTTCCCGCCGTGGGGCCGAGTGGTTTTGGCGGGATGGAGCCCCTCTGCTCGGAGAGTGAGGGGAGGGGTGGGATCTTTGTGCAGGCTCCAGCTCCGAGGTTTCTCTGTTCCTCGCTCTCAGCGGGTCTGACACTGGGCTCACACCAGGACTTTTGAAGCTTTGCCCTTCCACACATAGACCTTCACCTCCATCCGCGCCTTTTCAAGGCAGAGTAGTATTCCTTGGGATGGAAGGAGCCACTGCTGAGTTTCTCAGTAGTTCTCAAGTTTGGGGCAGGATGGACAAAGAGGAACATTGCTGGCTTCAGACTGCAGGAAAAGTAGACACTGCAGGTTGGTCCTGCCAAGTTGCACCCTTCTGAGAATGTGCTTGTCTGCCGCCAGCGCCCTTCCCTGGGTGCGTTGCGTCTCCCTGGCTCACTGTGGCGCGCTTGTGCCAGGTGCAGCTAGCCCCTCACAGAGGCGTCCTCATGGCTTCTGTTTTTCTTTTGCCTTATCACTTATTACAGATGTATGTATTAGGCTTTCTTCTGGTCAGTAGCTTAGCAGTTTTTGTGTTCTTAATGGCATATCTGTGTGCACAAATTTTCAGTTTATTTTGCAAGTCCTGTGGTTTGAACTCAGGGCATTGTACTTACTTGGTGCTCCACCACTTGAGCCATGCCCCCAGCCCTGCTTTTTGCTTATCTTGGAGACAAAAATCTCATGAGCTTTCTGCTTGGCCCCAGCCTTGAAATGATCCTCTAGATGCTCAGACCCCTGAGTAGCTAGGATTACAGGCGTAAGCCACCAGCGCCCAGCTGAGAAGTTTTTATTTTGATGAATTGTCTATTTGAACATTTTACAATTTTATGCCTTTTCTCTCTGTGCCTTGTGTGAGAAATGTTTGCTTGTCCCTGGTTGCTAGGATACACTCAGCTTTCTGGAAGCTTCCTAGCCTCCGCAGTTGCACGGGTCCTCGGGTGTCTCCTTCTCATTCCGAGTCTGACCCCCCATACACACACACAGCGTTTCCAGCTGTAGGTGTTGAAAAGATTTTCCTTCCCATTTGTTCTAGCGTCTTTTCTCGAAAAAATAAAGAAGTGTGGGGCTGTTCACAGCTCTCTCTCCTACCTCACTGCTACAGTGTTATTGTGCCTTGTGCCAGAACCCTGTTGCTTTTCCGAGCTTGTCTAGGCCAGCTGAAGTCCTTGCCCTGCTGTAGAAATTTTACTGAGAAGGAAATCCCGAGTTCTGGGCTTCAGTGCGTTAACCCTGTGGGTGAACTTGGCCAGAATCGATCTCTCCAGTGTTGATTGTTAGGGTCTGTGGGCATGCTCTATTTGGGATGCATCATTTTCAACAGTGCTGGGATTTGAACTCAGGGCCTTGAGTTGCCAGGCAGGCATCTGCCCCCAGTAAGGAGAACCCTGGGGCTTGGCCTTGAGCCTGGCTTGCATCTCCTTGGACCACAGGGTCAGAATTTCCTTTCTCCTGAGGCTGAGTTATGTATTCCATGCCCATTGCTTCTCCCTCATGAGCTACTGTGAGTGTGTGAGTGTGTGTGTGTGAGTGTGAGTGTGTGTGTGTGTGTGTGTGTGTGTGAGAGAGAGAGAGAGAGAGAGAGAGAGAGAGCGAGCACACACCCGCATGTCAGTCTTGGGGCTGGAACTCAGGGCCTGGTTGCTGTCTCTCAGCTTTTGTGGTCAAAGGTGGTGCTCTACCACTTGAGTCATGGCTCTACTTCTGGCTTTTTGCTGGTTAATTGGAGATCAGAGTCTTATGAATGAACTTTCTTCCCTGGCCTGGTTTTAAATGTGATCCTCAGATCTCAGCCTCCTGAATAGCTGGAATTACAGGCGAGCCAGTGGTGCCTGGCAAGACCATTGCTTTGACAAGCATTTGGGGGGCCTGCGTCCCTTTACCCTCGTGTCTGCCAAGGTAGTGCCGCTGCAGAGGCGGCGATTCCACGCTGAATGCTTTGAGAATTGTTTCCACAGCCCCTGGTGCTTGCTGGGTTCCGGTTTCTTCATACCCTCGCTTCCTGTCTTGTTTGTCATTCTGGTTTGAACTCGGGCTCCGGCTTGCTAGGCAGAGGCAGGTGCTAAACCACCAGAGCCACAGACCTTGTTGCTTTAGGTGTTTTTCAGATAGGGTCTCATGCTTTTCCTGCACTGACTTGATTCTGTCGGTTCTCCTACATACGCCTACCACCCATATGGTTGGGATTATAGCCATGACTGTCCACGTCTGGTTTGTTTGTTGAGAGGGGTCTCACATACATTTTGCCTTGGAGGCTTTGCTTCCAGACCTCCACCTCCCACGTGAAGATGGACGCCTCAGCCACAGGTGGGCGTTGAAGGCTTCCAGAACACATGGCGGCTGGCCGCTGGGAAGCAATCTGCTAGGTGCTTGCTTAGCCCAGCTGACCAGTGCTGCCAAATGCCATGGTCTTTGATTGAAAGTTCTAGAAGGAAGGACAGATATGTTCCCAGTGCCTTTCATCCAGCCCCCAGGGGGCTGGTGGGGGCTGTGTGGTCAGGGACCCCTGGGCCCCATGTCTGGGTCCTCTGGCGATGGAGCCTGGGCAGGGGCCTCCCCAAACACCGTCCGCAGCCCCGATGGTTGCCTAGGAGCAATCGTTATCACAGATCCAAGCAAGCGTCTTATTCTGAAAACCTCTTCATTTGAAAAAGCCCCTCTTGGGTTTGTTTCATAATATAAATGCACGCGGACACGCATTTCCTCATTTCTAAGGTTAACCCTTGCACGGCTCACGCCCCGCACACAGCGGGAGCACGCTGTCGCTGCGGTCCCTGCGGTCCCTGCTGGCTGCCGGCCCTTTGCCCACCGCACCCGGCCACGGCCACGGCCTCCCTGTGGCGACTTCCCGGCTCCTTTCCCAGAGCCAGGGCGCACGATCAGGTCAGGCCCACCCCAAGTCTCCCTTTGATGAGTGCAGAGGGCCCCTGCAAACCCCCGCGTGCCCCACCCCGGGCCCGCCCTGCTGGAAGGAGAGGAATGGGCCACAGCTGAGCCACGACCCGAGTCGGTGATGTTGGGGTGGGCAGCGCCCGGGACGAGGATGGAGTCACCTGGGAGGAAGGTCAGCAGAGGGAGGCGCGGCCGGTCTTAGGAGCCATGGTGGACCGGACATTGCTCACCGAGGATGAGGGGGGGGGGGGCTTGAGGAAAGAACTGGACGCCAGCGGCTCCCGCCTGGCATCCTAGCTAGGAGGCTGAGATCCAGGATCATGGTTCAAAGCCAGCCCTGGCAGGAAAAGTCCCTGAGACTCATCTGCAGTGAAGGAAATGGCGCTGTGGCTCAAGTGGTAGAGTGCTCGCCTCCAGCGGAAGAGCTCAGGGACAGCGCCCCGGCCCTGAGTTCAAGACCCACAACCAACAAAACAAAAGCAAAAACTGTGTTTCCTGTTGGGAGGCAGCAGCAGGGGCAGAGCTGGACACGGGGTGCAGTGGCTGCTGGGAGCCGGCGGCCTGGGGCCATGTGGGGTCCCTGCAGGCGTGCTGGTGAGGGCCGCGCAGGGGTGGGGGTACCATTGCGGAGGGCGGCACCACGGCCCGCGTGAGCTGCCCCCATGTCAACCCCGGCCAGAGCGGCTGCGCTCCCGCCGAAGCCTGCCCCGCTGTGAGCGGGCCTCCACGTGGCTGCCTCAGTTTCTCCCGGGCTGTTGTACATCAGTGTGCAGTGCAGCTCGTTGGCTGAGCTGGGGTCCTGCGGCTGGGGAGCAGAGTCCAATCGGCTCCAGCAGAGCGCAGGGAGACCACAGCCAGAAGCCACGCCCCTTGACCTTGCTGGGACGGGCGCCCCCTGGCGCCTGCTGGGTGACACCGTGGGACCAAAGGCTGTGGGGCCCCTCACCACTCTCAGGAGTTTGATCAGGCAGAGGCTGGGGTAGAGGCTGGCGCGGTGACTCCAACCTGTGCTGGGGGTGGGGGGTGGGTAGAAAGGGGGGACGGCTCTCTGCCTGGCTTGTGAGCGAGCGTGGCCTCCGTGGAGCCGGAGGCGTGTCCTTGGATGCTGAGTGGACAGGATGGAACGTGCTGGGTGGAGAGGAGGGAGTTGGGGCCCTCGGGTGCCGCAGGGCACTGGACGTGGCCAGCCTGAGCTGTCGGACCTGCCTGGGGCCTAGCTGGGCGGGAGAGGCAGCGTCTAGACTTGACAGGTTGAGCCAGGCACCAGGGGCTCAGCCGTCATCTTAGCTACTTCGGAGGCTGAGAATGGGAAGATCCTGATTTGAGGCCAGCCTGGGCAGACAGCTTCTCCAGACTCCATCTGAACCCACGGCGGTGGCGCACACGCCTTCATCCTCACAGTGAGGGACGTCTGGAACGGCGAGGATGGTCAGGTCAGGGGAGGGACAGCCGCTCACGCGGCGCAGCAGCAGCAGCCGCCCGCCCGCCCGCCCGCCCGCCGGGACACGCGAGGCCCCGCGCTCACACCCAGTGCCACCAAAATTCCCAGTGCTGAGTGTTGTGTCAGCAGTGGAGGGCGGGCGCCAGTTCTCAGCCGGGGAAGCCGGGAGTTGCTGCAGACGGGGCAGGTGGGATGCTCATGAAGCTGGACAGGAAGGAACACGGGTTGGAGGCACCCGCGTAGGGGACTCTGCGCTCGCCTGCCCCAGCGTCTGAAGCACCGATGTCACGATCTGACGCGTGCGGGTAGGGTGAGGATGTGTCGCCGTCTCCGTCTTTTCTTCCTGATGGGGTTATGGGAAGTTGGAGCGCTTTAGGGGTGTGGGTGGCTGGTGGGGGCCCTGGGGTGGAGGTGTGGGACAAGAGGGCGTCTGAGGGGCACGGATGGGGTCAGTCGTGGAGGCTGGGAAGGCTCGAGGTGCCCTGGAGACATTTCCCGCTGGGCAGGGGACAGGTGGGCTGGCAGGAGGAAAGGCTGGCAGGGAGGAGGTGGCCAGTCTTGGGGTGCCATGGCAGAGGGTGAGGCTGGGATGCCCTGCCACCCACAGACGAGGGGGGGCGCCAGCCAGGCTGGGCAATGGCAGGGAGCCGGCCCGCCACAGCCAGCCTGTGAGGAGGGCGGGGCAGAGGCCCCAGGGCGGGCGGGCGGCCGCTGGTCTCTGATCCTGTGGATTTCCCACCGCAGTCCGACTGGGTGGTTGGGTTAAAAAGAAGGAAAGTCTTGAGGTTTGAACTCGGGGCCTTGTACTTAGTAGGCAGGTGCTCTACCACTGAGTCATGTGGCCAGCTCCAGCCTTTGTTTTTCAGATAGGTGTTGAGTGTGTTTCTTTTTGCTAGGCCAGCCTGGATCACAGTCGGCCTAGATACATCTCCTGTGGAGGTGACCACCTCACCTGACATATTGGTTAAGATGAGGTCTCACTTTTTTGTCTGGGCTGGCCTTGAGCCTGACGTATCTCTGTCTCCAGAGTTGCTGGGATTTCAGAAGTCAGCTACCACACCTGACCTTTCTTAACTCCATGAGTACAGACCTGGCATGAGGTTTATTTGGTTTTGTTTTATTCCCTGTAGGGAATTTTGATTCCACACTTACAAACTAGGCAAATCTGCCTGATAAATATAGCTACAAATGGGACTTTGTCCCATTTCATTCACACAAATTGCTATTAGTTGAACTAAATCCTACCACCCTGGGTATCATGGGAAATAATGAGTGAACCTTCTGGAAGCTTGCCATACCTGAAAAGAACTGAGACAAAGAAACAGACCACGCAGGCCAGTGCTGTATAAAACGTGGTGCTTTATGTCCTCGCTGGGAAGAGGTTAGTCTCAGCCAGACTGTAACAAAATCCCCGCAGCTTATTCCAAAAGAAAGCTTTAATACAAGAGAGTTTAGAAAATTAAATGTATTTGTTAAAAATTCTAGTGTGTAAACCTTAACACGGGGCAGCTGGGTGCCAAGTGCCCCGTGGGCGGCAGGCCCAGCAGCCTTGGTGCTGCCCGCCTGCTCCCCGCACCCCTCAGCCTTTGTGGGGTCACTTAGAGATGCCAAAGGCTAGGGAGCCCCGTTCTTCTGGGGACCCCACGCTCCAGGACTTAGCAACTCTGATGGCAACTGTGAGGGGACGGGTGGCCCCAGTGGAGGGGGGCAGGCCATGGGGGGGGGGTGCAAACAGGACAGGGAGACACAGGACCAGCCAATCAGACCTGGCATCAGAACTTGGTGGTTCCAGACCCTTCTACCAGTAGTGCCACTCAATCTTTTCTAGTGTGCTTCTACTTCTCACAAAGCCTCTGGGTACCTGGGAGCCCGCTGGAGTCGGGGGGAGGGGGGAGGGAGGGGGCCGAGGGCTGCCGCAGACAGCGGCCTGACTGGGGCGCTGGGCCCGGGTGAAGCAGGGTCCGGTTGCCTCCGGGCAGGAGCCGCCACAGAGGCCTGTGGTAAGGAAGCAGGGACGTGGACTTCTTGGCACAGAACTGGAAGATCAGATACACAGCGCTGGAGCTGTGCAGAACTGGTGCGGTGCCCACCCAGCTGCTTCCCTGGGGCTGGCGGGGGGCCGGGAGGGCGGGGGCAGGTGTGGAGGCCTTGTTCAGGGGTGGCGCCCGCTCCCCTCTGCCTCCAGTGGCAGGGCAGGAGCAGGTCTCCGCTCCCCTCTGCCTCCAGTGGCAGGGCAGGAGCAGGTCTGGCCCTGGGCCTCTTGACTGGGGGACCATGCCGGGTGCCGGGAGGGGGAGGAGGTGGCAGAGCTAGCCCGGGGCCAGGCGCACAGGTCGTGCAGGTAGAAGCGAGCGGCTGCACGGGGCCGCCCGCACAGCGGTCCTGTGCCTGCTGTGGGCTCAGAAGGGCTCAGGGACCCACGTGCACGGGCCTGGGAGGGGTGGGGAGGGCGGGGCAGCCAGGTGACCCCAAGGAGACGTCAGGAGCTCTGGGCACTCACGGCTGGCCTCGGTCTTGGCTGTGGCTGTGCATGCTCGTGTCAGTGAGGCTTCGGCGGGGGAGGCAGCCATGGCCCCTGCGTGGACCACGGCCAGGGCCGGCGCAGGCACCGCACCACCGTGGTCCAGATGGCTGCACGGCCACCAGTGCCCGGCGGGGAGGTCACCGGGTGGCGGGGAGCAGCCATGGCTGTCAGGAGGGCTGTGGTGGTTCTCTGTTCCCCAACAAGTCTCTAGTCAGTTCTTGTTCTCTGGTCCCCAAAGCAGCTGTACCCCAATGGTTGCGCAGTCCTTTTAACAAACTCCTATCTGCTGGGCTCCTGGCGGGGCCCGCGGGGTGGGGGACCCGTGCAGCTCGGGCTGTGTCGTGGGCAGCCTGTCCTGGGGAAGGGATGTGGACCATGGCTGCCACGCGGGATCCTCGTCCCGCCCTGAGCACGGGGCAAGGCTCGGGGGACACAGGGTGGACAGGACCGATCGAGTCTTGAGGGGCCATCGTGATCTCCACAGGAGCTAGAACCTTCCACAGAGGTCCCCACAGCGCCGACCCTGGGGCATCCTGAAGCCAGCCGGGATGAGGCACGGCTCTCCGGGACCAGCTGAGCAGCGCCGCCAGCTCCGGCAGGGGACGGGGAGGAGCGTGGAGAGGAACCACCGGCCGCGGTGCAGCCCCGCCTCCTCGTGAGAACAAGCGCAGAGGCCCGTGGCCTCGCTGGGTCCCCTGGGAGTCCCCCTGTGCCAGGAAACCCCGGGGTTGTGCATCTCGCCCACAGACTCCAAGTCCGGCCCAGTGCCCACCCTGCTGCCAGCCTGGGCTGGAGAGCAGGGCCCCGTGCCCCGTGTGCAAGGACGGGCCTGGCAGCCGAGGGATGGTTTAATCAGTGGCACGTGGCGGCGGGGGAGGTGTGCTTGCGGTGCCAAGGCACTGGGCCACGGCGCGTGGGATGCAGTGGCCAGGTCTGGATTCCTTGAGGTCAGAGGTCGCCACTCTGGGGCTCCACATTACGCAGCTCCCGGGGGGGCCCTCGGGACAGCCGGGAGAAGCGGGAGGCCGCTTTGGGGCGGCTGCTCTTGCTCAGTGGCTCTCCGGGAGGGGCGATGTCCCTGCAAGACAGCGAGAGACGTGGGTGAGGCGGGTGCTCAGCCTTCCCAGACACGGGCAGATGTCTGAGCTGGCTTGGGGGCCATAGGCCAGGGCCCCGATTTAAGGCGTTGAAGGCCTTGGGTCTAGACCCAAGTAGGTCACCCACTTAATGAGCCCAAGGCCCCGAGTTCAAGCCCCAACACAACCAAACCAAGAGCATACTGACGGGTGGCACTGGGGCTTGAACTCAGGGCCTCATTTGCTAGAAGGGCGCTCTACCGCTGCACCAGGCCTCCAGCCACAACCGTGGCCTCAGGTCTGTTTCTCCTTGATGCAGAGTCACACATGCCTGGGCTTCTCGCGACATCTGTCCTGGGGTTGCCGCCACTGGTGGCCAGGACAGTACCCGTCCTGGTGGCTGGGGGTGAGGGATGGGGCCACATCTACCCCACGGGGCCTGCTCCGCTGACCTGCACACTTGCTCCGGGAAACCCCGCAGTGCGCAGGGGCAGGCGCTCTCCTCCATACTGCAGAGGAGGAGCCGGAGTCGCTACGGGGCTTAGCGGCAGAGGGCAGGATGACCAGCCTGACCAGGACTGGGCAGCCAAGCGTCAGAGGCTGTCCAGGAGGCCTGGGGGCAGCACAGCGGATTCACAGGCCTAGGGAACTTGGAGAGCAGAGTGTTTAGACCAGCGCCTGGCGTGGTGCACACTTGCAACCCCAGCAGCAGGAGGAGGACTCTCCCAGCCCCAGAGGGAGGAGTTAGAGCCAAAGCACGAGGTCTGCCTCGATGGCTCCCCGAAGTTTCTTTCCAATTCAGTGGAACAGTGTGGCGCTTCCCAGGCCGTTATGTGAAGATCACTCGGCTAGAAAAAGATCCTTCTAGAATCCAGCCCCAGCTTCCTTAGAAAGGAGATGGTGAGACACCCCTTTCCCCTCCAGACACGCGAGCTTCTGGAGTAGGGCAGCGCCTGAAGCGCGCGTCTGCACAGCCCCGCCGGCGATGGCGTGGGCGAAGGCGGCTGCTGCCGTGCGGCCGCTGTGCTGTGCGTGCACGCGGCACTCGCTCACTGCGGATGCTAAAGATGGGGCCTTCCTCTCCGAGACTGAGAGTGGGGGGAGGGGGAGACTGTGTGTAGCTCAGCCCTGGCACCTTGGCACAGGCTGGCACCCTTACAGCGCTGTCTGCGGGCCTCCTCCGCTCTGGGAGGGGCGAGGAGAAGGGGGAGCCGGGGCGCCCGGCCCCCGTGCGGAGCCACTGGGGAGACCCAGTGCCCTGGCAGCGCACGGCGAGGGCGCCGGTTCCCGTGGACAGAGCGCCTGCCTGCTGCTCGCGCCAGCACCTGCAGTGGCTCCCGAGGACGAGGCCGGAAGCAGCCCCACAGCCCGTGTCCTGTGATCCACTAACAGGCGCAGAAACAAAGGAATCTGTGCGCCTGAGGCACAGGCACCCACGCCAGTTACACGCGGAGCAGACGGACACCTGACACCAGCCGTGAGAACTGAGTCACCCACAGAAAACTGAAAAAGGCCCGTGGCCGGCCTGTTACACAGCAAAGGGAGTCCCTGCCAGCAGCTGAGCCCCGCGCCCAGTGCGGTCCTGGACAGCCTGGCTCTCGGTCCTCCCCCCTGCTTGCCACAGTCCTGCCACTCCCCTGTGGATGACCCACAGATGACTGTACGCTTTTGTCTGGTGACAGGGTGCCCGCCCCTCTGGCACCCGCCTCGTCACTCCCCCTGGGGACAGCTCATACGCTGGCCTTGGACAGGGCCTGCGACGGCTTCTGTCTCTCCATGCCTGGGTGGGGCAGGGGTCGGGGCGTGGACCCTGCCCCGGAAGGGAGCCTGGCCGGGCCCACCATGCCAAGCATGGGCGGCCTTGGGATCGCGTCCCATCCAGTACCACAGCCCTGTCCACTGCATGGCACTGAGCCGGGGAGAGCCAGCCAGGCCAGTGCCACTATGGCCGCGGCCACCCTACCCATCACTGAAGGACGCGGGAAACCCAGAGCGCCGGCACCGGCCAACCCGCGGCGGGAGCGGCGGGGCTGCGGGGCAGCGGCTTTTCGGGGGCAGCAGCGCTGCTTCCTAGGGCTTTATTGGTGTTTTTTTGGTGTGTGTGTTTTTTAAACTAACCTCAAATGGTGCAGGCTATTGTGCTCAAAATAACCTCATGTTTCCCTGTCTCCAAACTGGATTTTCAGATGCTCCAGCATTTAAAAATACAAGCCAGGAAGTAGGGCAAGCTGCCGGGGCCGGGCGCGGCTCGAGCAGCGAAACGGGGCTGTGGCCAGCGCAGGTGCCCGTGACCCCGCCAGGCCAGTGCTGCCACCACCCCCATTGCACAGCTGAGCCACGGAGGCCAGGAGAGGTCTGCACCCTCGGGCCGCGGACTCACTACAAAAAGAGGGGATCGGGCCCCTTGCCGCTGGCTCTGGACCCAGCAAGGCTGGCCCAGGGCGCCGGACACGTGTGACAAGATCAAGGTGGCCTGCCTGCAGGCCGGGGGTGGCCACGCCAGGAGCCACGAGGACGCGGTGTGTCCCGTGGACGCGTGCTGTGGCCACCTCTCCTGCCGTCTCGCAGCACCGCCCGCACCCGCAGCCCCTACGGTGAGCAAACGCACGAAGCCCGTCAAGCGCGCCAGGCATCTGAGGACAGGAAGGGGCTGTGGGAAGCTGCGGAGGGGGCAGCAGCCTCCGTCCTCCCAGCCCCATTTCCCAGTGCTCGCTGCCTCTGGCCTGGGGAGTGACCCAGCGGGGGGGGGGGGGGGGGGAGGCGAGGACCCCCCCACAGCCACTCACCGCCCCTGACAGCTCCGGCCAGGAGGGGCCGCTGTGTAGACAGTGCGGGGCTGGCAGCCCGCACTCCGCTGAAAATGCAGAGCTGGGAAATGGCGGCGAGGAGCCTGGCGCCACCTCCAGGATGAGGAGGACCAACCTCCAAGGGGTGACGGGACAGGGACAGAGGTGAACAACACGGGGGGCTGGTCAGGGTAAGTGGACCCGTCTGCTGGACCACGCAGCCCATCTCAGATCAGGTGCGCGAGGCACGCGGCCCCGGCGGACAGCTGCAGGATGCCGGGCTGGGGAGGCGCGGCGGGCGCGCAGAAGCGGCCAGGATGACACTGGTGGCGTGCTCCCGCCGAAGCAGTGACAGATGCCACCTGCTGCACGGGAGACAGCTGCTGGGGGAGGCTCCACCTCACCTGCCCCCCTCCACCCATGACACGGATTCCCCGTGTCTCCAGCTCCGCCCTCCACTTCCCCACACGTGATCTGCACACATCTGCGCGGGCACAGGGAGCAAGCGTCCTGAAGGACAGGCCTCGGGATTCCCGGGGCTGCTCGGGGACTGCCAGCTTGCTTTGCTCGCTATTCCAGAAACCCCAGAGCACTGTGTCACAGGAACCGCGAGGCTCGGGGGATGTGGAGCAGCGCAGCCTGGTGCGAAGGTCCTCGCCGCGCTGCCGGACGGACAGCAGCGCTCACCACGTTCTCCAGGGGCCATGGACCCCACGCTCCTCCTGACCCCTGCCCTCCACCCGCACTTCCTGCTGCATCCTGCACCAGGGACCTGGACCACTGCCCCTTAGCTCACTCCTTTTGGAAACAAGATCTCACCATAGCCAAGCTGACTTTCATTCTTGACCTTCCTGCATCATCTTAAGTGCTGGGACTACAGACATGCACCA